TTTTTTAATAAACCCTTTTTCATTCGACATACTTTATCTTAATCGAGATATTAATAAGGAACCAGCAGATCAAGTAGCTTTTGGAATAAAACACCAATTTTTTTAAAATTAAACACTATCTAAAGATTTGCATCGAAGCGTTTATTTTTGATAGTGATTTTAATCACTGTCAGATATCATTATACTTGATCCAACTATACCACGTCACAACTGTGCCGCGACCCCCCTGTGCTGGGTTGGGTTTTTATTTCTATAATTTTATATAAATATTGAAGTAATACGACACGTTCTTGGTAATGACTTAACGAATAATTTGTGCTGGTAATTCTTAGGACTCAAAGGTTTTACAACAAAGTTGTATCTCTAATCGACATTGATACAACAGGTTTAAAATATTTTATGTGAGTATTTTGTAAAAAGCACTTTCTTCTTTATTTAAGCTAATAAGCAGTTCAATTTTTAGTATTCATAACAATAAAACATAAAAAAGACACTAAAAAAAGTATAAACATTTTTTTTTTTAATTATCATTATCAAATTATAATTATTTTAATTTATATATCAGGTGAGAACATGGGTTCATTAGTGTTATTAATTAACTACGTTTATTTGTAAATGAGACTAAATGCTTAATTCTATACTTGTATAAATATGTGTAAATTGCACTTATGTTATTTGGCGCACAACATATTTCAGGGGGGTGGAAGATTGTTGTCATGTGACAGCTTGACAAACACGCCGCAGCGGACGGGCAATGGCTTATGCGTCGGTAGTTATTATTATATTACAATATACAAGAGTTCCAAATTGGAAATCAGACAAGGCGCAGCAGACGGACAATAGTATATACATCGGTAGTTATTATAATATGTCTACCGTATTTAAATATATATATATATATATATAATCCACCACCACCATAATATAAGGTACGAATATAATATATCACCACCAAATCATATTATGTGTATTATAATTTTCTGGAACTTTTTGGAATATATTGGAAATTTATAGTGATAGAGTTAAATTATTAAACGTGTAAAATGCGAATTTTTAGGTAACAATATGGGATGTTTTGCATCTGGACCTAATGACGCGTAGCAGAGGCGGCCGCCGACACGAATTAGGCCAGTCGCGTCAATAAACGGCGCTAGTTGAACGAGAGAACTTGGTGAAACTTGATTATGGTTAATTAATTGTTTATATAAATTGGTGAAATGTCCTTCTTGTGTCAATAAGGCCGCCTTTTGTAACATGGCGTTTAATTCAAAATAAGTCAGTGTTCCTGTGGGCATGGGTTGACGGCGGGCCTTAAAAGTCAAGCGATAAATGTAAGCGAGCGATCGTTGCATCCTTTGTAATGTAGAAAAGCGGTGTAAAATTTGATCGGCGGCAGTTTCTTTGTCGATGGTAGTGAGAACTACTGTCTTTTGTTGATAATCTGGCAATTTTTCAGGCTTCAATAGATGGTAATTATGCCGCGGCCATTGTTCGGCGGGTAATCGTAAAAATGATGGTCCTTCTCTATGAATGTGACATAATACCGTATTATATGGTAGTAGACCGCGCGATGCCGGGTCCGCGGGATTGTCGACTGTGTTGATATATGACCATTTACACTCTGGTATTAATTGCTGTATTTTAGCAATTCTGTTTGTTGCGAATACCTTAAAAGATTTTTGGCTAACGGTTAACCATGATAATACGATGATTGAATCGGTTCACGCATAAATTTTTGAAATATCAATATTTAAACAGTTTTTTACGCGATTCAACGTTGTAGCAAGTAATAATTCAAGGTGCGGCACCGTAATTTGACACTTACTGGTTTTAATTGGCGCTACCTTTGTCTTACATGTAACAAAATTTATCGTAGCATGACCGGAGATGTCTACTATCCACAAATAAACAACGGCCGCGTAACCACGTAATGAAGCGTCGGAGAATCCTACTAATTCTATTTTTTAATATGCGCGTATGTCAATATGTCGAGGTAACCTGATTTGGTCGATGGATGACAATTCTGTTACGAATTGATTCCATGACGTATTTAACTCCTCTGGTAGATGACTGTCACAATCAAGACCCGATGCCATAACGTTTGCATGAATGACTTTGCCCATAAAAGTGTGGGTCCGAGCGTACCTATAGGATCGAAAGTCTGGTGATTGTAGAAAGTACCTTGCGTCGTATAAGGATAATCGGGTTGAATGTTAGTATGATAAGCAAAAATATCCAATGTAGGATCCCAATGCATACCTAATACTTTTACAGATATATCAGTATTCTTTGGGTCTAAAGATAACAATGCTGAGCGATCAGTACAATTTACTTGCCGAAGTATTTGAGACGAATTACTTGTCCACTTTTTTAGAGAACAGTCACATATCTTTAATAGCCCATATTAAACTCATATTCAATAATTTTAGATTCAACTGAGTCCCGCCACAAAATATGTTGATATCGGCGGTCTGTGTCTCGCACTAATACCTGGCGATACATTTTTGTAATATCAGCGGTTAACATATAACGCTTAAGCCTATTCTTTTGAATAATATCGAATATATCGTTTTGAAGTTTAGGACCGGCTAATAATACGTCATTCAAGGAATAACCGGTCGTTGTGGCTGCACTCGCGTCAAACACCATCCGTAATTTTTCGATATTGTCGCCATCGCGTTTTACTATGGCATTATGTGATTTGTAGTAATAACCAGGTTGAGTGGCTGGTCTCATATGACCAAGATTGGCATATTCAGCCATGAATACGCGGTACTCGGCATATAGCGTCGGATCTTTGATTAATCGCATTTCTAAATTATATAGGCGTTTTAGTGCTAACGCGCGTGAATTACCAAGGCCATGACACGACGGCGCTGTATCAGGAGGCTGATAAACACTATTCGAACTACATACAGAATCACGAAATGGAAGTGCTACACAAAATCGACCATCTTTTTCTCGTGTGGTTGTCTTTGAAAACCATTCTTCACATCGTTGTTCTTCAGTTATCGACTCAGTGGGTGTCGCAACTTCCTCTACAGCCCAAAAGGAACGCATTAGATTATCCATTTTACTGATGTCTCTATATGTCTCTATGAAGTATCTGAATACTTCTCTACTTTTATTTTACCTTTCATTACTGTTATTTCATGTTGGGTTACTACAATTATTATTATTAATACATTTCTAAAAAACAGCTGGTTTTTATTTTATCAATATTAAATATAAATATAAATTTGTATTTGTAATAATAAACCGCCTTTTTTATTAAATCAAGTGTTCATCCAATAGTGATTTGACTATTGTTTTTTACACGTGTATGAATAATGTTTGAATAAAAATAATATTTTAAATATTTTAATATTTACTTAAAATATAGATGTAGAAATAAATTATGTTAGTAGTTAATTTCACATTTGTATTACATTAGTGCATATATTCTGATGTAATCAAAAAATTATCAATAGTTATTCAAAATTTAACACTTAGATAAAAATGCAGGTGAGTAGTACACATTATCTGAGGTATTCAAATGAAATCTTAAAAATTATTTAATTTTATTCTAGAATTGGCATTTGAAATCTCTATTGTTGATAATATCTTGTGTAATATTTAACGGAGGTAAATTCTGTTTTACATTACTTATAAAATTTTTATATGTATTTCATTTATACGTTTGACTATACAATTTTGATTTTCTATAGTATCAATATTTGTTTGTAAAATTTACGAAGTTGCTTCATAATTTAATACTATGAAACATTTATGAACAAATATAAAATATATTGAGAAAATTATTAATTAATACCAATCATTAATATTTTAAATCATTAATTATATTAATTTTGTTTGTTATTTTATTTTATTTATATGTAATTTTTTTGAGTCTGATGGCTACAATTTTAATTTATCGGTGTCTTATTTAACAAAGTGAATAAAATAAAAAAAAAATTTTCTTAAAATATTTTACAATTTACGTTTTTTGTTTAATACATTGTTAGTGTTATTTATGTTTATTAGCATTGATACAAAGATTAGGAGATATTAATTTTACTATAATGTTTTTTTTTATGTCGCTCACCACTCTTATCTCTCACTGGGTTAATATCTTTCAACGATATTTCAATAGATCACAAATCGTATCTAATTATTACTTGATAATTAAATAATAATTTTCTCAATCCCTTTTAATTAAAATAAGTTTTGATTTTTAAAATGAAGGAATATTGACATTTTTTAAACTTTTTTCTTAAAACAATCATAACTTTTTGAAAAATAAATGAATCAAAATAAATAATTTTTTTTGCAAAATAATGTAGGTTTAATAATCCCATTCTTTATTTTTCTACGGGGGTGATTCAAAACAGATAACAGTTAACTTTTTCAACTTATTTTTTGAAAATGTTCTGGAAATAATTTTTTATTTAAACATATGTTAAATTCAACATTATGTTTCATATTAAAAAAGTATACATATTGTCCGATGACCTATCTTCTATGTGTAAATAGTTGGCGTAGTTAAATAACATGTTATTTTTTAATTAATTTTTTTTTTAATTTTTGTACGTTTCCAAATCATGAAAAATTAAGGGTTACACCTCCATAATAATTCAATATGATGTCTTTGAGCATATTTTTTTTCAATTTAAATTTTACACTGCAATTATTTTTAAAAAATGAACACCTAGGCGATTTTTTTATATTAAAATACCTTACAAGCTTTTGCCATAGTAATGAGTTCACCGATTTTCAAAATAGTTACTTGAATCTAACTTACATTGAATATAAAATTATTTTGAATATTTTACCTCCCTTAAGTTAATAAAAACGACTTTGAGTTTTTGAATTAATTTAAATTGTGTCCTCTTTAGCTTCTAATAAATGTGATTTACGATTGCCGCATCGGTACCACTACAGTTAATCACACTCGAGGTGCGAATTTCGAGTGCCATTTGTCGTTATAATAACTTTATAATTTTTTGATTATTTCTTCTTGAGTTGGAAAAAAATTCAAAATTCATTTGATTTTTATCTCATTTAGATTAAATAACTTTAATGAATTTTAACTATTCAATCAAGTTTAATGATCGGTACATTAAAAGAAACCCGATTTTATTCTAATTGAACTAATTATCAATAAATATCGGCAAAACTTTTTTATTAAATATCTCTACAAATAATAAGAGTATAAAATTTGTTTTTATACTGAATTACACAATAAAATCATATTATATAATAAAATTTTTTTAATGATTATAGACTACTATTTTACAAAACCAAACTTTTACTATTATTAAAAATCTGATATTAGACTTTTCTATTACCTATTTTTTGAGATTATAACTAATTAGAAAACGAGTATTTACATTTAATGAAAATAAATAAAACAAATAAAATTTTGTATTAAATGATGTCAACACCAAATTTGCTCGTCAAGCTAAAAAAAAGTTATGGTAAAATGTTCAATTTAATTATAAACTTTCGTAAAAATCAGCTTGAACCAAAAAAATCGGTTTAAAATGACGTTTTTTGTATCGAAATTTTACAAAGATAATTTTAACATATAAAATTCAAACTCGACAAAAATTAAAACATTTTTTTTTAAATATTTATATTAAAATGTAAATCCCTGTTTTTTACAAATAAGTAATAATCCTAAAAAAGTGTTTATACAAAAAATCTAACTATAGATTTAAGATCGGTGCAAATATTGGTTTATAAATGTATATTTTGGTTTCTGATGAAAATTCGTTGAAGATCAAGTTTATTGATAAGCAACAAACATTTTTTTTTTTAATTATTGCATCATATCTTTCATTTTTTTATACATTTACCATAAAAAATTGGATCAAGCTATATTTGCAAAACTATATTATCAAAAGTATAATAATTTCCTACTATATACAATAGCAAGAAAAAAGGTTTTCTTGTATTATATTTATAAATCAAAAAACTTGTACTAAGGATATTGTAAAAAAAAAGATTTAATTTGTTATCACAACTTTTAGCTTGAAATGCAAGTTTGAAATTGAATAAATCATTAAATAGATAATTGTATGAGAATTAAAAAATGGTTTTGTTAAGTTACCGTAATGGTATGAAGTCAGAAAATCTTATAATTACTATTTACAGTTATTTCAAACTACGTACCTCAAACTTGAATAATTTAAGTTTTACTGATTCTCCAACCATACGTCGCATTCGTCTGTAGATAAAAATGGCAATGTAAGCTAGTTCAAATATAAAAGCTATTTTTTTTTACTTGAAAAAGTAAAAAATTAAAATAAGTTTATCATTATTAGTGATGTGTCCCACCTAGAATGAGACACGGTAACGCGTTTGGAGTGGATGTAGTTGTAATGTGAAATGAAAATACAGGATTACGGCACAATACATATATTTATAACGGCTTTTTAATTTAGAAATACAATTATTTATAATTGATACATTAATTGTCTTAAGGTGAAAATCACTTAAAAGTCGTAACACAATATATTTATACAATGGTTCAAACGCGATTGATTGTTGCTTATTCGTTGTTAATACTAATTATTCCTTAACCCCACTACATTAATATAATAACAATACGGGTTCGTCAAAATTAAGCTACGTCAATTAGATTTATTCAATATTTATGGTAATCAGTGGTATACACTTGTAAGGTATCTTAAAATAACATAAAATACAAAACCTTGAATTTTTCTAAAATAGCATATTTTTGAAAACGGTAATCATTTTTACAATAAAGACAATCTATAGTTTGATATTTTCACTATGCATAAGAAAGTATAATTCATAAACTTTAATTGAAAATATATATAAAAGTATCAGTATTTCCGGAAAATTAAGTTGAAAAAGTACAAATTTCTATACGCATGTTTAAAGTTATGATCTCATTGAATGAAGCGATATTGTCCAATGTAAAAGTTAGTCGCAAGAAAGGGGTATACATGACGTATTTAAAAAGAATTCCCCTCATAATTTGTAAATATTATTAGTAAAATATTCAATGTATAAATTTGTTTAAGTAAATATAAACAAAAGTCAATACACCAATATTTTTTTAAAAGCCCTTTTAAAAAATGACAAACTGATATTAGTTTCTATTATTTGAGCCTAATAATGTATTTTAAGTAAGGTGACGTCAATTGAATGTGAAATAATAGCAATAAAATTATTTAATAATGATTTATACTATTAATTTTAACTTTTTTAAAAAAAAATTATTTTACAAGAATATTTATAATCTGTTATGCACAATAATTATTGTTTAAACATATTTTAAAAAGAAATTGATTACATGGTTACATTGAGTGGAAGACCTACGACTAGAACTCCTATTTACATAAGGTTTAGCAGATTCCAAGATTACTATTTTGTATGTCCAGTTTAACAGGGCTTTGTATAGGATTATTTTAATTATATGAAAAATTTTGATTTTGGTAGAGATCTTAGACGAAGACGTGAATTATGTTTTTTCCTTGTTTATTTAGTGTCTCCAGTGCGACGTCTTTCAAATATGAGACTTAAGTATTTAACTTGATATAAGTGATCCATTCAGTGTAATTACTGAACATATTTCTCTGCGTAATATAAATATTGTGTTAGTAGATTTGTCTGCGTTTATTTTAAATTACTCGTTGGTAAATCAAGTATTCAAACGATCTCAATAATTTGTAGGATTAGATTAACCATCATATGGTCAATATTTGAAAGTAGGGTTGTGTCATCAGCATAAGTTATTCAAACATTTTCCCCAGAGTAGGCAATAGAAAAATATGTCTGTAATATATAATCTTTCCTGGAGGTTTTAACTTTTTTTTTTTAATAGCAATAAATCGACACAAAATATTTATAATTTGTCAAAGAATAAGAGCATGACTTAAGTATGCTTAAGAATAAAAATAATAATAATTGGAGTAAAACATAGATAATAATATTAATTTTTATAACTTTATTAATTACTATTTAAATATAACTATTTTTCTCTTAAATATGTATACATATTTAATAATCTAGATTATAAAAAATTTTAAAAGCAAAAATTAATAAACAATTGTTATCATATAGCGATTCAATATTCAGATGACGGTATAAAATGCCAATTTCAAAAAGGTACCACTAGAAAAGCTGCTGAAGATGGAAACTTAGAAATTTTAATATATGCTCATAAAAATGGATGTCAATGGGACGATGATACGACTATTGCAGCAGCTGCAAAAGGTAATTTGGAATGTTTAAAATATGCTCATGAAAATGGGTGTGAATGGAATGAAGAAACAACAAAGACTGCAGCTACTAAAGGAAATTTAGAAATATTAAAATATTTACATAAAAATGAATGTCCGTGGAATAAAAGCACAACAGAAGCAGCTGCAAAATATGGTAATTTGGAATGCTTAAAATATGCTTATGAAAATGGATGTCCTTGGGATGAATTAAAAATTGTACAAAGTGTTATTAAAAATAATGATCTAGATATTTTAAAATATGCTCACAAATATATACATAAATTAAATATACTTTTAACTATGATGGCTGCTCATGCAGGTAATATAGAAATTTTAAAATATGCACATAACAATAAATGTTTGTGGGATAAAAGAACAACAGAAGCCGCTGCCATGTCTGGTAGTTTAGAATGCTTAAAATATGCCCATGAAAATGGATGTCCTTGGGATGAAAGCGCAACTCGAAGAGCAGCTGCTAATGGACATTTAGAATGTTTAATGTATGCCCACGAAAATAAATGCCCATGGAATATAAGGACAACTGGAGATGCTGCTTCAAATGGTAAACTACAATGTTTAAAATATGCCCATGAATATGGATGTCCTTGGGGTGAAAGCACATCGGAAAGAGCTGCTATAAATGGTAGATTAGAAATTTTAAAATATTTACATAAAAATAGATGTCCGTGGGATGAAAGAACAACGGAAGCTGCAGCTTCTAATGGTAAATTAGAATGTTTAAAATATGCATATGAAAATGGATGTCCGTGGGATAAAAGAACAACAGAAGGAGCTGCTTTAAATGGTAGATTAGAAATTTTAAAATATTTACATAAAAATAGATGTCCGTGGGATGAAAGAACAACGGAAGCAGCAGCTTCAAATGGACATTTAGAATGTTTAAAATATTCCTATGAAAATGGATGTCCGTGGGATAAAAGAACAACAGAAGCAGCTGCTTCAAATGGACATTTAGAATGTTTAAAATATGCCCATGAAAATAAATGTGCATGGGATGAACGCACAACACACGTAGCTGCTCTTTATGGTGAATTAGTATGTTTAAAGTATGCTCATGAAAATGGATGCCCTTGGGATGAAAACACATCACAAGCAGCTGTTATAAATGGCAGTTTAGAAATTTTAAAATATTTACACAAAAATAGATGTCCGTGGGATGAAAGAACAACACAAGGAGCTGTATATTATGGTAAATTAAATTGCTTAAAATATGCCCATGAAAATGGATGTCCGTGGGATGAAAGAACAACGGAAGTAGCAGCTTTTAATGGTAAATTGGAATGTTTAAAATATGCCCATGAAAATGGATGTCCGTGGAATGAAATGATCACAGAAGCAGCTGCTTCAAATGGACATTTAGAATGTTTAAAATATGCCCATGAAAATAAATGTGCATGGGATGAACGCACAACACAAGCAGCTGCTTCTAATGGTAAATTGGAATGTTTAAAATATGCCCATGAAAATGGATGTCCGTGGAATGAAAGGACCACAGAAGCAGCTGCATTATATGGTAAATTAGAATGTTTAATATATGCACACCAAAATGGCTGTAGATGGCATAAAAAAACAACAAGAGTTGCTGCTGATAATGGTCATATAGAATGCTTAAAATATGCACATGCAAACGCGTGCCCGTGGGATAAAGCCACAACTAGAGCTGCTGCAGCGAGTGGTTGTTTAGACTGCTTGATATATGCTCATGAAAAAGGTTGTCATTGGGATAAAGATACGATAGCTGCAGCAGCTGTGCATGGTAATTTAGATTGTTTAAAATACGCCCGTACACATGGATGTGATTGGGTTGAAGGTACAATGAGATTGGCTGCAGCGAATGGACATTTAGACTGCATTAAATATGCCCATGAAAATGAATGTGAATGGGACGAAGGCACAACAAGGGAAGCTGCTGCTAGTGGTCATATTGACATTTTGGTATATGCACATAAAAATGGATGTAATTGGGACAAAGGGACAATGAGTGGAGCTTCTGCAAATGGTCATTTAGACTGTCTAATCTATTGTCATTTAAATGGGTGTACGTGGGATGAAGGAACAACAAGACTTGCTGCTGCAAATGGCCAATTTTATTGCATAAAATTTGCCCATGAAAATTATTGTCCATGGAGTACAGGTACCATTTATGAAGCTACTCAAAATGGTTATCAAAATATAATTGATTATGTTACTGAAAATGGCTGCCCTAATTAATTTTCTGTTGAAATATAATCTTTATTTTATTCATTTATGTTGGCAATTATTGCATTATTTTTCAAATAAATTAACTTGAATTTTTATGTATATCTAAGAAGGTATTCATTTTAATATAAATATTTTTGACAGTTTACTTTCTTAAGAAATAATATTTTTGTAAGTATTACCAAAAATAATATGTTATACATATGTAATTTTTATATAAAATTTGTTTGATACTATTTTCTTAGCTGTGAGAATAACTTTTAACGTCACCAAACTTTCATAAAAAAAAAGAAATTTGAAAATAGGACATTGTTAAGTAATTTTCACAACATTGGCTAATTTTTAATGTTTTATTATACAAGGTGATTTTTTTATCATAACCCACTCAATTACTTGCAGAATAATAACAATTTAAACATTTTTTTTTTCATTATCTTTAGTTACACATTATTCTTGAATTTTTAAGTATGTAATACTTTTTAAGTTCATCCCTTATGCCTTGGAGGGGGGTCAACTTTGTTTTTTTAAACGGTAACACNTTTTTTTTTTTTATTATCTTTAGTTACACATTATTCTTGAATTTTTAACTATGTAATACTTTTTAAGTTCATCCCTTATGCCTTGGAGGGGGGTCAACTTTGTTTTTTTAAATGGTAACACATATTTTTAATTTAATAAAATGTTTGAGTTGTCAATTCAGTAGTAAATGGCATTCGAATTTTTAATAAAACTTAATTTGTTTATTAGATATAAACATTTAAAGTTTCAAATTTTTGAGTTAATATACATGTATAATACACATGAGATTGTAAATACAGGTAACTAATTGGTTTTTTATAACATCAATATTAGCAGGTACATAGCATTGTTATTATCAGTTGTAGTAAGGCACATTGTTATGAGTTAATAAATACACTAACTGACAATACAGAAAGTATATCTAATGATAATCATAATTGATAATAAACAATCCGTGACTGAGACAGCAATGACATAAAAATCCAATTTGCTACCTGTATTAACAATCTCATGTGTATTATACATGTACAGGGTGTTCAGTAAGTCAGGAAACGGGTTTCTATTGTTCTCATTGTTACAAACAATGGGAACAATATAAACCCGTTTCCTGACTTATTGAACACCCTGTATATTAACTCAAAAATTTGAAACTTTAAATGTTTATATCTAATAAACAAATTAAGTTTTATTAAAAATTC